TCCCTTAACTACTTGTCTTAACTACCGTTTTGCCTTAACTACAATTTTTAATTACCTGTCTTATCTTAATCTGTCTTACCTTAACTACTGTTTTTCATTAACTACCTGTCTTGTCTTAACCACCTGTCTTATCTTAACTGCCAGGCATGTCTTAACTACATGTCTTACCTTAACTACCGATTTTCCTTAACTACTTGGCTTGTCTTAACTACCTGTCTTATCTAAACCTGTTTTACCTTAACTACAGTTTTGCCTTAACTACCATCTTTCTTTAACTACCTGTCTTGTCTTAACTATCTGTCTTTCAATAACTACCTGTTGTCTTAACTACCTGTCTTACCTTAACTACCTGTCTCGTCTTCATTACCTGTTTTCCCTTAACTACCTGACTTGTCTTAACTACCTGACTTGTCTTAACTACCTTTATGTTTTAAGTATCTGCCTTGTCTTAACTACATATCTTATCTTAACTACCTGTTTCGTCTTAACTACTTGTATTATTTTAACTACTTGTGTTGTCTTAACTACCTGTCTTACCTTAATTACCGCTTTTCTATAAATACCCGTCTCGTCTTAACTACCTGCCTTGCCTTAACTACCTGTCTTGTCTTAACAACCTGTCTTACCTTAACTACCGTTTAGCCTTAACTACAGTCTTTCCTTAACTACCTGCCTTGTCATAACTACCTGTCTTACCTTAACTACTGCTTTTGTTTAAATACCTGTCTTGCCATAACTGTCTTGTCTTAACTACCTGTCTTGTCATAACTACCTGTCTTGCCTTAACTACCTGCCTTCAAATACCTGTTTTGCCTTGGATATCTGGCTTGTCTTAACTATCTGTCTAGCCTTAAGTACCTGCTTTGCCTTAACTACCTGCCTTGTCTCAACTGCCTGTCTTGTTTTAACTACTTGTCTTGTCTTGTCTTAACTATCTGTTTTGAAATAACTACTATCTTGCCATAACTACTTCACTTGCCTTAACTACCTGTCTTGTCTTAACTACCTGTCTTATATTAACTACCTGGCTTGTCTTAAATACCTGTCTTAACTACCTGTTTTATTTTAACTGCCTATCTTACTTTAACTACCTGTCTTAACTATCTGTCTTGTCTTAACTACCTGCCCTGTTTAACTACCCTTTGCCTTTATTACGGGTCGTCCCTTAACCAGTCCTGTCTTAACTACCGTTTTGTCTTAACTATATGTCCTGTTAACTACCGTTGCCTTAACTACCTTCTTGCCTTTATTACCTGTGTTGCCTTAACTATCGTCTTGCCTTAACTACGCAGCTGGGTAAACGATAGTCCGGTAGTTACGTCTGCCTCTCCAATCTGTTTACCCCAAGATGCCCAATGTTCTAAAACCTTGATGTGTAGCGCATTTGTTTTAGACCATAACTGTTTACCCCGAAATGCCTCCACAGTTTCCCAGCGCGAGGCATTTTCTTCCTTGTCATTTGGAGCATCGGTTGCAATTTTCCTTTCTTGGGATCAATAAGGCGCCCGGTGAATGCAATCAGGCCTCGGTGGACGTCGCTTTCCGTCTCGACTTCGACATCGGGTCTACGAGGGTTAAGTATTATTGGTGTGTCTGTTCCTCCTCTTTCTCCTCTTTTTCCCTTCTCCTCTCAGTTTCCATCACCCTTCGTCTCCTTTTTTTCCCTTCTCTTCTTCCTTCCTTTCTCGGCTTCCTCCAGTTCTCTCCCTCCTCCCCTTTCCTTTCTCTTCCTCCCCTCCTCTGTTACCGAAACTGATAAATTAAGTAAACAAAACCTCGGAAAAGTATGATCTTCCACTTCTTTCCTAGCCCAGCTCCTCTGCTTCCCAAGAGAAGAAAAAGAAAAAGAAAAGGAAAAAAGCAAGTGACAGTCGCTTGTGGTTCGGTGTGGCGTGAAAGAATATGTGCGAAGGTCCTGTTACTATTCTTTTTTACTTTTTATGATTAGCACTCCTCTATTTTTTCGCTCTCTATCCGTTAACAAACTAAATAAATAATAGAAATAATGCATTTACTGAGCCCAAAATACGGCATTTTTTCAATGGATGAGGTCTGTAAACCGATGTTGTAATAAAAAAGTATTTACATATAAATATATCATTGTTTTCATTTACTTTTTTACTCCACAAGGTCCAAAATGGCTCGGGATGCGAAAGCGTGATGTTTGTCTATTGGAGGGTTTTTATGGCTCCCGCGTCACCCGCTCTCCCGCGCAGGCACCGCGAGGGAAGACGTGTAGGAAGCGTCATAACCGCAGTTTGGTGGACAACGCGGGGGACGAAGGTATATTATACTTTTACTATGTCCTTGCTTATTGTCCCCCCCCTCTCCTCCTCCTCTCTCCCCTCCCTCTCCTCCTCCTCCTCCTCCTCCTCCTCCTCCTCCTCCTCCTCCTCCTCCTCCTCCTCCTCCTCCTCCTCCTCCTCCCTCTCCTCCTCCTCCTCCTCCTCCCTCCTCCTCTCCTCCTCCTCCTCCTCCTCCTCCTCCTCCTCCTCCTCTC